CATTTCCTGTACACACACCCCTCTGTCCCCCCCATTTCCTATACAAACACCCTCTGCCCCCCTATTTTCTGTGCACCTCCCACACCCATAGCACTTTCAGACACTGTAGACATGACGTCTACAGTGTCTGAAAGCCGCAAACGGGGAGGTGGGCTGTAAGGAAGAATCTGGTTGCTTTTGGCTCGTTACACGAGACCAGCTGAAGTCCCAGGCGGCAGATACGGCCCCAGAGTTAGGGGGATAGAGATCATTGGTTGATGACTGTGTACATTAATGACTCTCGTGTTCCACAGGCCAGTATGGTTCACTCCCTGATAGAAGCTTATGGACTTCTCAGAGACATGAGGTGAGAGGAGATATCATATCCTTCCGTACTATGACAGCTGAGTTGATGTATCTGCCTATTGATGGAGGGTTCAGTAACGAATGGCTCAGGCCAAGAAGAAGGCTACTTGAGAATTCCAGGATTTTTAAAAACCATCCCCCCTCCCCCGCACTGCAAGGGTTACGTGTTCAGGAACACGTGATAACCATACAACATGTATACATTGAATGTAGTAGGATTAGACTTTGTACATTGTACCCAGTGCAGCCCATCATCTCATTCTCTCAAGACCCAGAGACCTAGAAATGGTCCTATACTAATGGCCTTCTAATGATGGGCGCCTGGGCCATGTTGGTTCCTTGGTCATTGTATGTGGACACGTTACATATCAGCCATTTTATTTTGGGATATTGTATTAATGAAAGGTATGAGAATCTTACAGATGTGTTTCGGTGAACTTGTGGTACGTGTGAGGTTCTATTTATTAGTTGTGATCGTTGTTTGGACAGGATGGTGGTACCCTCCCATTGGGGCTAGACTGCCCCTTATATAATGAATGAGTTTAAACCTTATACAGCAACAATCTATGGCTAAAGGTTGGTGGACACCCGGCCATCGCATCTGTATGAGCTTGTTGGACATCGCATTCCAACACCATGGCCGTTAATATGGAGTTGGCTCTAGACCTGGCTCACAATTGGGGTTCCAATTCATCCCAAAGGTTTTCTGTAGGGTTGAGGTCAGGGCTACATGCAGTGACCATCACACCTCTATGAGCTTATTGGACCTCCCATTCCAACACCATGGCCAATAATATGGGCTCGGTTCTAGACCTGTCTCACAATCAGGGTTCCTATTCATCCCAAAGGTGTTCTTTAGGGTTGAGGTCAGGGCTATATGCAGTGACCATCACACCTATATGAGCTTATTGGACCTCCCATTCCAACACCAGGGCCATTAATATGGAGTTGGCGCTAGACCTGGCTCACAATCAGGGTTCCTATTCATCCCAAAGGTCTTCAGTAGGTCAGGGCTGTATACCGTGACCATCACACCTCTATGAGCTTATTGGACATCCCATTCCAACACCATGGCCATTAAAATGGACTCCGGACCTAGATCACAATCGGGGTTCCTATTCATCCCAGAGGTGTTCAGTAGGGTTGAGGTCAGGGTTGTATGCCGTGACCATCACACCTCTATGAGCTTATTGGACATGGGCATTAGGATGGAGTTAGCTATAACATCCTCCACACTTCTGAGAAGGCTTCCTCAAGATTTTGGAGGGTGGCTGTGGGAATTTCTCAGGGCTTTGTGCAGGACACTTGAGTTCCTCTACACCAAACTGGTTCAAACCATGTCTTTATGGAGTTTGGACATCAATATTATTATAAAGCAGCGCTGTACAATATAAGGAAGACATTACACTCGCAATACAATTCAAGGCAAGATGGTAAGGAGGGCCCTGCCCCTGAAGGCTTACAATCTAAAAGGGATTAATATGGAGTTGTCTCCTCTTTGCACCTATAACATCCTCAACTCTTCTTTGAAGGCTTTACACAAGATTTTGGAGGGTGTCTGTGGGGATTTGTTCCCATTTGTGAGGTCTGGTACTGATGTTGGATGAGAAGGCCTGGCTCACAATTGGCTTTCCAGTTCATCCCAAAGGTGTTCAGTAGGGTTGAGGTCAGGGCTCTGTGCAGGACACTCGAGTTCCTCCACACCAATCTGGTCACACCATGTCTTTCTCAAGCTGGCTTTGTACACGGGGGACAGTCACGGTGGGGCACGGAAAGGGTCTTCACCAAAGTGTTACATAAGGCTGGGGGAGCCCAATTGTCTTTGCATGCTAACATTTACAAATGGAGATGTGCTTGACTAGTTGTGATCATTGTTTGGGTAGGATGGTGGTACCCTCCCATTGGGGCTAGACTGCCCCTTATATAATGAATGAGCAATGGGACTTTCAAGAAGCTCATACGGGTGTGACAGTCGGGTGTCCAGAAACTGTTAGCCATATAATGTATGAGCGAAGCCTACCCTCCCCCCTCCCATTTTGCACGCCTGGTATTGTACACGTATGCCTACCACTTATGCATCATGTTTGGAGGCTGGAAAGTGCCCAGTTATGATCTTAAATCTCGCCGCCAGTCAAATGCCGGGCCCACTACTGGGTACTCAAACCCTTGCACTAGACTGGGAATTTATAGGGGGCGGGTTTACAATGGGAAAGGGGCGGGGTTAGTGCTTTACTCTCAGATTATTCTGCTCTTTATGGGCCTTGTGGCCAAAGGTGTCTGAGGTAGTCAGCTGAGACCTCCACATTCATCGCAATGATCGGAGTAAATCTTTAGGAGGACCTCCTGTGTTCCTCCGCAGGGACGAATGTATACGGACAGATTTACATGCCTGTCGTCTACGTTTCCATGACATTCTGGGTCTTGGGGATCTCACTTTTCTATATTCATTGTCTTGTGTCAAAGCGTGTGGAAAAATGTCCCGTTGCTCTTGCAGGGTTGTAAGGCCTCGAGTTGCCACCATGGAGGAAATGGCGACCTTCCACACTGACGCCTATTTGGAGCACCTCCGCAAGGTCAGCGAAGAAGGTGATAACGATGATCCGGAGACGACTGAATACGGCCTTGGTAAGGACTGCACGATGTGCATGCGTATTGTAAGGAGTGTCGCAGGAATTGCAGTTATTGAGTGAGCCTTTGGCCGGGCTATGGACATTCAAGTATTTACATGTTCATAACAAGTTCTCACTTACCTCTGTAGCTGCGGACACTATGGAGCAAATGATATTCAAATTCACAGCAGGAGCACTGAAGTTGTTTAATTCTCTTAGCAGCTCAACACATCCTTTCCCTTCTCAGAAGTGACTGAGCCATTCAGCTTTCCCCTATTGCAGTATGTCATCAGCTCAGCCCCTCCCCTTTTCCCAGTAACTGAGCCGCTTAACTCCCCCATCCCATCAGTGGCTTAACAGCTCAGCGTCCCCTGCTCCTCCCTCCCAGCAGTGACATAGTAGCTCAGCTTCCCCTGCTTCTCCCGCCCAGCAGTGACATAGCAGCTTATCCCCCTGCTCCCCCCTCCCAGCAGTGATTTAGCAGCTCAGCATCCCCTGCTCCTCCCTCCCAGCAGTGACATAGCTTATCCCCCCTGCTCCTCCCTCCCAGCAGTGACTTAGCCGCTCAGCATCCCCTGCTCCTCCCTCCCAGCAGTGACATAGCTTATCCCCCTGCTCCTCCCTCCCAGCAGTGACTTAGCAGCTCAGCATCCTCTGCTCCTCCCTCCCAGCAGTGACATAGCTTATCCCCCTGCTCCTCCCTCCCAGCAGTGACTTAGTAGCTCAGCTTCCCCTGCTTCTCCCGCCCAGCAGTGACATAGCCTATCCCCCCTGCTCCCCCCTCCCAGCAGTGACACTGCAGCTCTGCTCCCCCCTCCCAGCAGTGACATGGCAGCTTATCCCCCCTGCTTCCTACCTCCAATCAGTAGATGTATTGAGCTCTTCTATGACATTTTGACAATTTGCACGTTGTGTTTTCTCCGCAGGCTACGACTGCCCCATCACGGAAGGTATCTATGACTATGCAGCTGCTGTAGGAGGAGCCACGTTAACTGCAGTTGAACAGCTAATGGAAGGCAAAGCCCGCATTGCTATTAACTGGCCTGGAGGGTGGCACCATGCTAAGAAGTAGGCATTGTGTGATCCCTGGGTAAATCCAACTGGACTATATCTGTTAACGTTCCTCACCGGGCGCCGTTTACTGGCGTTCTTATTACAAAGCGAAATGTAAAGCTGAACTCCGGACAGGACTGATATCATACCAATGCCTGGGTGGTGTGCAGACAGGACTGACATCATACCAATGCCTGGGGGGGGTGCAGACAGGACTGACATCATACCAATGCCTGGGGGGGGTGCAGACAGGACTGACATCATACCAATGCCTGGGGGGGGTGCAGACAGGACTGACATCATACCAATGCCTGGGGGGGGTGCAGACAGGACTGACATCATACCAATGCCTGGGGGGGGTGCAGACAGGACTGACATCATACCAATGCCTGGGGGGGGTGCAGACAGGACTGACATCATACCAATGCCTGGGGGGGGTGCAGACAGGACTGACATCATACCAATGCCTGGGGGGGGTGCAGACAGGACTGACATCATACCAATGCCTGGGGGGGGTGCAGACAGGACTGACATCATACCAATGCCTGGGGGGGGTGCAGACAGGACTGACATCATACCAATGCCTGGGGGGGGTGCAGACAGGACTGACATCATACCAATGCCTGGGGGGGGTGCAGACAGGACTGACATCATACCAATGCCTGGGGGGGGTGCAGACAGGACTGACATCATACCAATGCCTGGGGGGGGTGCAGACAGGACTGACATCATACCAATGCCTGGGGGGGGTGCAGACAGGACTGACATCATACCAATGCCTGGGGGGGGTGCAGACAGGACTGACATCATACCAATGCCTGGGGGGGGTGCAGACAGGACTGACATCATACCAATGCCTGGGGGGGGTGCAGACAGGACTGACATCATACCAATGCCTGGGGGGGGTGCAGACAGGACTGACATCATACCAATGCCTGGGGGGGGTGCAGACAGGACTGACATCATACCAATGCCTGGGGGGGGTGCAGACAGGACTGACATCATACCAATGCCTGGGGGGGGTGCAGACAGGACTGACATCATACCAATGCCTGGGGGGGGTGCAGACAGGACTGACATCATACCAATGCCTGGGGGGGGTGCAGACAGGACTGACATCATACCAATGCCTGGGGGGGGTGCAGACAGGACTGACATCATACCAATGCCTGGGGGGGGTGCAGACAGGACTGACATCATACCAATGCCTGGGGGGGGTGCAGACAGGACTGATATACCAATGCCTGGGTGGGGTGCAGACAGGACTGATATCTTACCAATGCCTGGGTGGGGTGCAGACGGGACTGACATTATACCAATGCCTGGGTGGGGTCCAGACAGGACTGACATTCTACCAATGCCTGGGTGGGGTGCAGACAGGACTGACATTATACCAATGCCTGGGTGGGGTGCAGACAGGACTGACATTATACCAATGCCTGGGTGGGGTGCAGACCGGACTTCCATTCTACCAATGCCTGGGTGGGGTGCAGACCGGACTGATATTCTACCAATGCCTGGGTGGGGTGCAGATAGGACTTATATCATACCAATGCCTGGGTGGGGTGCAGACAGGACTGACATTGTACCAATGCCTGGGTGGGGTGCAGACAGGACTTATATCATACCAATGCCTGGGTGGGGTGCAGACAGGACTGACATTATACCAATGCCTGGGTGGGGTGCAGACAGGACTGACATTATACCAATGCCTGGGTGTGGTGCAGACAGGACTTATATCATACCAATGCCTGGGTGGGGTGCAGACAGGACTGACATACCAATGCATGGGTGGGGTGCAGACACGACTGACATACCAATGCCTGGGTGGGGTGCAGACAGGACTGACATACCAATGCCTGGGTGGGGTGCGGCCTTACCGGAGATGGATGTTCTTTAGATAATTCTCACGGAAGTGTGAACTCGGGCAGCAGGGCATCACTTTCTATCTTATTCATTCCGTGGTCACTGGTGGCTTAGCCCTACTGTAGTCTTACGGTGAGGAGGCGGAGACCGTGGTGGGGGGGCGGAGCCAGTCTCTGCTTCTAGCTGCTCCTTTCTCCACCCATCTATATTACAGAAACCAAGATGGAGGGGGGCCGTCTTTGCTCCTTTTCCCCTCGAGCCCCCAGTCTTGATTCAAGCAGTGGGCTGGCTCTTGGGAGGAGTTATGCAAATTTCTAAATGCTATGATGGGTGGATGTCAGTCTGGAGTAGTGGGCATTACCAGGCAGGCTGTATTTGCATGCAGACCAATAGGGATGCACTTGTTTTTTGGGTATCGAGTACGAGTACCGGAAGTTCCATAAAGGAAGCCGGGTGGCGTGTAATGACTGGCCCCGTGGCTTCCTGATTAGCAGGGAAGCCGTCTCCATGCCTGGTGATGAAGAAGCATTGAGCCGGCTTTCTGGCCAATCAGGAAGCCGGGTGCCGTGCAATGACTCGTTACCCGGCTTCCTGATTGGTGGAGAAGCCGGCCCAACAGGAAGCCGGGCAACGAGTCATTACACGGCGCCCGGTTTCCTGATTGGCCGGGAAACCGGCTCCATGCTCCCTGGTCACCAGGGAGCATGAAGCCGGCTTTCTGGCCAATCAGAAGGCCGGTGGACGAGTAATGACTGACCGTCCGGCTTCCTGATTGGCCGGCTTCCCGACCAATCTGGAAGCTTGGCGGTGAGTCATTACAGGCTGCCCGGCTTCCTGATTTACTGATCCGGCCAATAAGGAAGCCGGGCTGCGTGTAATGACTCACTGCCCGGCCTCCTGATACCGGAAGCTCAGGTATCGGGCTACGCATCAGAGCCTTTGGGCAAGTGTTGACGTTTGATGGTCGTTTCTTTTAAAATGAGCAACACCGGCGCTCCCTGCAGGGTGGAGGACTGTTG